TTTTCACCCATACCCACATCAGTTTTGGAGCCCGGTGGTGGTCCGTTTTTCTCTGTTTTCACCCATACCCACATCAGTTTTGGAGCCCGGTGGTGGTCCGTTTTTCTCTGTTTTCACCCATACCCACATCCGTTGGTCCGTTTTCCTCTGTTTTCACCCATACCCACATCAGTTTTGGAGCCCGGCGGCGGTCCGTTTTTCTCTGTTTTCACCCATACCCACATCAGTACATCAGTTTTGGAGCCCAGCGGTGGTCCGTTTTTCTCTGTTTTCGCCCATACCCACATCAGTTTTGGAGCCCGGTGGTGGTCATACCCGCATCAGTTTTGGAGCCCGGTGGTGGTCCGTTTTTCTCTGTTTTCACCCATACCCACATCAGTTTTGGAGCCGTGGTAGTCCGTTTTTCTCTGTTTTCACCCATACCCACATCAGTTTTGGAGCCTGGTGGTGGTCCGTTTTTCTCTGTTTTCACCCATACCCACATCAGTTTTGGAGCCCGGTGGTGGTCCGTTTTTCTCTGTTTTCACCCATACCCACATCAGTTTTGGAGCCCGTGGTGGTCCGTTTTTCTCTGTTTTCACCCATACCCACCCACATCATCAGTTTTGGAGCCCGGTGGTGGTCCGTTTTTCTCTGTTTTCACCCATACCCACATCAGTTTTGGAGCCCGGTGGTGGTCCGTTTTTCTCTGTTTTCACCCATACCCACATCAGTTTTGGAGCCCGGTGGTGGTCCGTTTTTCTTTGTTTTCACCCATACCCACATCAGTTTTGGAGCCCGGTGGTGGTCCGTTTTTCTCTGTTTTCACCCATACCCACATCAGTTTTGGAGCCCGGTGGTGGTCCCACCCATACCCACATCAGTTTTGGAGCCCGGTGGTGGTCCGTTTTTCTCTGTTTTCACCCATACCCACATCAGTTTTGGAGCCCGGTGGTGGTCCCACCCATACCCACATCAGTTTTGGAGCCCGGTGGTGGTCCGTTTTTCTCTGTTTTCACCCATACCCACATCAGTTTTGGAGCCCGGTGGTGGTCCCACCCATACCCACATCAGTTTTGGAGCCCGGTGGTGGTCCGTTTTTCTCTGTTTTCACCCATACCCACATCAGTTTTGGAGCCCGGTGGTGGTCCGTTACCCACATCAGTTTTGGAGCGCAGTGGTGGTGAGTTCACCAATCCCAGCCAAAATGAAATCAAAATACAAAAGTTCTGCCCCGTCGCGAAGCCGTGGGAGTCCGGAACGGCCAGTTCCTGAGCCTCCTGGCCCCTGTGCTGGGCACCAGCCCGGCCAGGCAGGAGCTGCCGCTTGGCGCGCTTTGGCGGTAGGGGAGCTGAAGGCTGAAGTTGATGTTTTGTTTTCCCCCTTTTTGTTTTCCGTTTTTTTTGTTGGTTTTCCGTTTTTTTTTAGTGAGGTTGGGGAGATAGGAGCGCCATCTATGTTGGGGTCCCTTCTATGTTGATTTACTTTACTATGATTACATATGTATTGACTTAATTCATAGCGTTTGAGGGGACCGCTGGATGAACCACTTGGCAACCAAACATGTTCACTGTTTCCAGGGATTTGACGGGGCCCAGCAGAGTCCGGCTTCTTTAAGAAGGTTCTAAGAATTCTTGGGGGATGTGGGGCCTTTGGTTTCCTCGTTAGTTTCAGCACTGTTGTAAATGCATACAGAATGTGGTGAGAGTAGAGTTACTTGGAGCATTTTGGAACCCATGCGCTTGGAAGATGTCGTCGTCCAGCCTTTGATTGGATTGATGTGCATCAAAGGCCGGCCATTGGAATTTGCCGTTTCTTCGCACCACTTGAGCACTGATGCAAGCGCTCTTTGCCTTGCTTCAAACATTCAAGTTCTATACCCGATGCCAGACCATACATGTTGCTTAATTGGTCGATCATACCAGAATCAAACTACATGGACCGTGGGCTGCAGGGTTACTAACCTCGCTCCAAGATCAGTTTAACGGGAAATCAATGAGTCGTCTGGCTTTGATTTGCTGGAGTGTCACGGGAAGTTGAACAATGCTGGAGGGCAATGTGCTACAAGCAATGGTTTTACCCGCCTTCAATGTGCGACCATCAGACACGGACACAAAGGTACACAGATGAATAAATACATGAAGTCGACACACAATGCATGCTTTAGTCGACATTCTACCAGTGGCAGCTCCAAGTTTCAACATAGTTTTTCAAAGCATCAACATATTTCAAGATACGTCCAACCAAGGACAACTATCCGGTTTTGTCAAGAGGCCAGGCAGAAATGACGCGGTGCTGTGTCTAAGGACGCGATTGTTCTTTGACATCGACTCGCACATGCATCCGGACCACGCTCAGAAGGCCAGGCACCGATTTCGGGAGAGAGAGAGAGAGAGAGAGGCCGAAGCAGCCAAAGTGCAATTAGCATGGCATACGCATGCCCACATTCACCCTTCCTTGAAAGAGTTGCATCCAACTACTTTCAATACTTGCCATTTATCGCATGGCCTTTGGGAGAGAGCGGACAAGTGAACAGCTGGCCGGGCGCGTGGAACACGAATGCTTCAGTATGGTGCATGCGCCGGGGCGTAGCACGGAGCGTGTTGCTGGGGCGTAGCGTGTGTATGCCTAACGTAGCTCGTGTTGTAACGTCTGTCTCACTGAGTAACGACAGCAAATAATATTATCATCCTACCTGCCTTCCCTCCCCTTACTTTTTGCCACCGTCTTTTTCCTGCATCAAGCTGTTTGTGTCTTGATTTCTTTGAGTTCTGTGGTGTACTTGCTGGTGCTCAGCAGGGAATGAGGGAATGACCCCTATAAACATTTTGTGGTTTCCTGGATCGGGAATCCCCAAACGGCTCATTCCATTTCTCATTCCCTACCTATCGCACCGATCGCAGGTAAATCCCGAAATAAATCCCCCAACCCCAACCCCAACCCCCCCCGTTCCATTTTGGAGAAGTTCCAAAAAGCCGCCAGGCCTTCCGCTTCCTGTGCACTGAGCGTTTTGCGTTTTGTTCAATTTTCGGAGCTTCGGAGACGCATTTTCGGAGGTAGTGGCGCCGATGAGTCCCAAAGGCTCCCTGGGGGGTCACCATTACAAAGCGCAGCCGGTGAACAAGCCCCGCGCGGGAGCCAAGTTATCTGCCTATATAACGAGCTCAGCTGGGGGTATATCGACCATGACAACGGCCCTTTGCTTGGGGATCTCTTAATTCAGGTTTAGAAATACTAAAATTTAGTAAAATGGCAAGATATTAAGAGATCTTATTATGCAAGTTAATTGAACTACAGTAAAATTGTTAAAATTGCCCTTTGCTTCTGGAATTTCAGCAAAAATTGCAGAAGTTACGGCGCATCGAGTGGCCGGGGGGTCGGTCGGAAGCGAACTGGTTTTGAAAGTCTGGAAAGGGCGCTGAGCCTTTTGCCAGTTGGATTTGTTTCGGGGAGCAGGGTGCATAGGGGCAAGGATGGAGTACAAACGAAGGGCAAGTGCCGCGGGGGGGGGGGGGGGCGGGCTAGGGCCAGGGACCCTCAGGGACCCTCTTTTCAATCGGTTTTGAAGGGAGCCAACACGAAAACCATCATTTATTTGGTGCATGTTGCTTGGATGTTAGGACTTTAACTTTTTGCCAACGAATGGGTTTTCCATTACACCACTAAATGTTAAACTTTTAGCAGGGGAGCGGAAAGCAAACAAAATTTGGAAGCTTCCCATGTAGGCACCGTCCCAATCCAAAGTTAACTTGCAGCAGTGGCGTTGGGCTTCCGCCAGATTTATCCTTCCGCGTCAAATCGTGTCCGTTTGGTTGGGATTGTTTTTGTTCGTTGTTCCAAACCTGGTGCCATTTTTTTTGTGTGTGTGTGTGTGTGTTGTTGATGGTTTTCTTTTTCTCGGGGTTAATTTTTTGTCGCTCCCTTGAAAACCCTGAGTCAGTTGAACCATCGATGGTCTGTCGCAAACATCACCCAAGAGCCCCGGATCCAGGCTCGCTCGGAAATACTGAAAGCAAGCCCTGCACGAAGCAGGCATTCCCTATGGGAGAGCCCAACAAATATGAGCTATTCTGATAAATTGGCCGTTTTCCGTGTCAGCAACAAGGGTGCCAGATTATCCTATTTAAGAGGGACGGTTGTCACTAGCTGAAGCTTATAGTGAATCCCATGTTTGTCAGCAATTGTTCTGCGAGGAGAAAGCAGGCATTGGTGTGCCGCCCCGAAATGCCGTGGCCATAGGTATCGCGCTGGATTTTCCAGAGTTCCTGATCCTCATGTGACTTTGTCGCATTGGTGACAGTTGCCTGCTTGGTGGTTCAATGTTTGTCGAAGGAAAAAGTTGTTTAGTCATTCAGCGTTGAGAAGGGTGCCTGATGGAGTTCTGAAGCGCAGTATCAAATGTCGTGTCACACGACTTGAGGACCATGATTGCTAGAGCTGCTTTGCCAGGTCGCTGCTGGTGATATGTTGAATTGTGAAGCCACCCGGTTGCTCTTGAGTTTGGATCGGCATCTTCTGGTTTTGAGAGCGTGCATGATGGAAAGTACCCCCAGACTGCGGTCTCTCCTCCATGCAAAAAACTTTCCTCCATGCTGAACATATTTGTTGCAAGTGGATCATTTGTTTGGGTTCTGTGCTGCGCGTTCAATACAATTCCAGCTGGGCGCAAGCATGGGATCAAGCGGGCACATTGACACCAGCAAGGCAATGGAGCACGATATGGCTGACCAATGTCACATTCTCCGGCGCCGCAGATAGTTGCGCTTTGTTGAACTGCTGTCAAGTGTTGCAATAGTGCAATAGAAATACCTGGGCCTTCGTGCTTGAACTTTGTTCGAACCATAAATGTTGATCACGTTTGAGGACGCGTACATTGAGTGGCAGAGTCGGGGTCGGCAATGTCCAGGCATCTTGTCTTGGAGAAGAACGTGTGTCAGGTGAAGGCGCTTCCGCATGAGAGTGCCAGGGAAGGCCAAGAGATTTCAGACAGGTGAGCTTGTTCCATACCGAGCTGGCTCGGACACACCGTTTCAAGCCATCACGGGTGTGTAGCCCAGCGTCGCTTTAGCAGGCCTCATAATCTTTGGTGCATGTTGCTTGGATGTTAGGACTTTAACTTGTTGCCAACAAATGGGGTTTCGATTAAACCGCTAAAAGTTAAACTTTTAGCAGGGGAGCAGAAAGCAACCGAGTAATGAAGGATTCCTGTGAGATGATCATGTGAAGGAGACAGCGTAGTCCGTTGCCCCAGGTGGGGAAGACTACTTTTCTTCCGTGCGGCAAGCCACCATTGACCGGTGCTGGTGGTGTTTTGATTGGTTACTCTCCCACCAACTACCATGGAACCTGTCAGGGGGTCCCTTTAAAACGATCATTGTCTTCCAGGAGCCCTCTGTCAGGTTCCATGTAATTGGTGGGAGGGTATCAACTCGGTTGAGGAAGGATTTTTTTCTGAATTTGTTCCGAGCTCAGTTGGGGCTCAATCTGCAAATGCACGCCCTTGTTGCACTGCATTTTGAACGGGATTTGTGCATTGCATCAGCACAGATTATTCTTGGCTTCCCAGGTTCTATGTCTGGTTGGTGAGAAAGTTCGCCCCGTCCCGTGCTGTGGCGTCCAGTCAATCGGTCAGTCCGGAGAGCACCATTCTCAGAGTGCCAAAGCGGATTCAGTTTTTCAGGCCGATGTTTACCCAGAGGCTCCCGATTGATTTAGGGCCTTCAAACAACCTGGTTTTGAGACCCCCAACCACCGAAGCGGGGTGTCTAATGGGGTCGGGTCTTCCATTGAAAGCCGAAGCCAGGAGCCGGGTAGTGAAAGCTTATTGAATCGCCTTTCTTCATATCCAAAAGACCTGTATCTGGTTTCACCTTTGCCCTTTCGGAAACTTGACTGCATGAACACTGCAGTTGGTTTGCGACGCACAGGCATAGAAGCAACACTCAATATCAAGCCTCATTTATTTGATATCCACACACACACACACATTTACATGCTTTGTGAAAAGCTTACTTTAGACATCCAACGTTCTAAGCAAGCAATAAGAACGCCCGGGGTAGTAACCAAGGTCGCTGAGCATGTTTGGAAGTCTGAGCCCTCCAAATGGACTTTCTGCTCAGGAATTCTTGATCGGTTGAAGCTTGAACCAAGCATCATTAAATTGGCTGAGCGGGGTTTGGGATACCTCCTCCCTTGCGTTGTGTTAGTTTGTGTCGCAGTTTGAATTGGTCGGACCGTTCCCCAAGGTTGATCTGCTGGTTTCTGTGCAAAGCACACAAGAGCCACACTCAAAACCCGGGAAAGTGAAGGTTAGGGATACAGTAATGCCAGCCATAAATGGGTGCAGCCGCCTTCCTGATTCTTTGCATGGTTCTGGGCAGACGATTTTAGTGCCGGGTTGCGATTCGGACTCACAAGGGAGGCTGCCGGCTTCTTCCGAGTGGAGTTTCAGGAGCATTGCAAGACGATCCTCGAGTGCGGGAGACGGTTTTCGCACCGGCCATCCAGGCCAGTGCGCACTGGCGGCACGCAAAATGGATTGAGGATGCCCTTAGTCACGTTTACAGCTACAAAGCGTTCCATTGGTCCATGGACGGCAAACCGAAGCACCTGCTTGGGGTGTAGTGATGGTTACTGCACATGCACTTTGCACGGGACCTTGCTTAGTGTGGCAAATTTCACACCCAACAGAGTCTGTTTTGTTTGGCGGTTTGGTTTGCATCTGGATTGTTGCGTGCAGAAGAAGCAATGCTTATTAGCATTGCACTTTGAGTTGCGTCCGCTTCTTCCAGACAACTGAGTGCTTGACTGTAGCATTGTTTGCCTGGCAAATTCAGAACGATTCCACCTGGAGTGGTCCATGTCTTTGTCTAGGCAAGTTTACTGGAGCTGCTATTATGCTGCTATTTCTCAAGAGAGCGACAGGTCTCGTTGTGTTTGCTGGGAAGGTGCCACCTTTGCCTGTGCCCGTTCCACACAGAGTTTACATTCTGGTGAGGGTTCAAACTGCGCATCGGTCTGGATCGGCTTGTTTTTCATTTTTGTTGTTTGCAGAGGAAGGTAGGAGGAGGTCAGGTATCGTCGTCCTAAAACTGCACCTTTCTCTGCTAGTAGTTGACATCACTCTCGGGGTTGGATTGGTGGTGTCGCAATTCACAGTAAGGATCATACTTGCAAAGGGGAGTTCATCCCAAAAAGCAGCTCCGCAAACTTACAATGTAGAACCTGCAGTAGCAACAAATGTAGTGTTGTTCCGATCCCATGGTTACAATGTTCATAGAAATCATATTTTGCCAAGCACTGCGAAGTGCGAAACGTGACGCTCAGACGTTGGAATCCTTGCTTTGCCCACCCTTTGATTCCAGCTCCCGGCAGGCTGCATTGATGCGGAGGTGAGCAATTGACGGGAGTGGGGAAGGAAGTGGTGCGCTTGCATTTCTAGGTCCCGCAGTAGTGCCCTTTTACCCTGTTTTGGGTGAGGGTTCCCCTACTAAAATAGACTACAGAAAAAAGGGATTCTAACCTCTCTACTGGAGGTCCCAGATTTGTGGCTGAAGTGTGTTGAATCCTCCAGTACCGCCATGCCGATGGCAGTACTGGAATAAATCCAATGCACAAGAGGATCCTCTGTGTTTATTTGATGTTTGGCCGCAACAAGAGGAGTTTGTTTGTTTGTTTGTTTGCTTGTTTGTTTCCCGTAGCTCTCTCTCTCTCTCTCTTTGCCGTGCGGATGGAACCTGGACATTCACTGCCGGGACATCCACGCAAAACAAGAACGCTTCATTGGTGCCAACTACAACCTACAGGTCAACTCATGAAGTACAACTTTGTCAGCGCCCTTCCAGCCCTTCACTTGGTGGTTTCTTGCCATCCGGTTCCTTTGCTTTTAGGTTTTTAACTGTTAGCAGGGGATCTGAGGACAGCCGCTCGTCCAATGAAATCAGCTTGTCGCATTTTGGTCGCACCCGCTGTGCCAATTAGGGTCTTTTGCTGGACGACAATTGCTGATGTCCAAAGCTACTTTACCAGAACCCAGTTTCCTCGATGGGTCTGAAATGGTTTCAAATGGTGGCCCGTCCTGCTTTCCAAGCGGACCACTGGAATTCCACTGAGTGTGTGTGTGTGTGTGCGCGTGTTGGCATTGAAATGTTTGTTTGCAAGGGCTGTGCCGGGTTGAAGCATGGCAGTACACCAGCGATGTGGAATTGCTTGCGCTACGATTGTCTCAGTTGTTCAGCGGCACCAATTATGTGTCCACCTTTTTTTTGAAGCTTGCCCTAAAAATGGTCTTCCCCAAAAAGGGCTCCCTTTTTTTCCAGGGTCACTGAACAACTGAGTTGTGTTTGTCATCACTCGATTCAAGCATTTTATCCGAGCATCGCCGTTTTGGAGATGGACTCCGCCAATGCCAACTGCAGTGGTGACAAGAATGACTTGCTTTGTGGGCGAGTTTAGGGTGCAGTGCATCTAGTCATGGGGCGGATCCTGGGTGTACCTGGTTGCAAAGAGGCATGTGTCCATCCTGGCCAGATTGGCTTCCAGGTATCGCTTTGTTTAATGCTGCTGGATGACTGCAATTCACCTGGAAGCTCGAGCCAACAGAAGTTGAACGCTGTTTAGCCAATCAGCGTGACTTTGTTCTGTGGCATGGTACTCAGCGTCCAGTTTAGGCCAGAAATGGCAGTCATCAGGGATGGGCAAAAGTGATTGCTTTCTCAGAAAGAATGGTCATATGTTCATGCGTCGTGAAAGTCCATTTCATTTTGTTGCCTTTCCTCATGTGGCCCCAGTGAACATCCCAATCCCCACTAAAATTTAGGTTCTAACATGGGTGGTGAATTCACCTACCAACCAAAATGGGATCCCAAAACGGTTTTGACCACCACAGCCATGTATGTGTATTGCATTGCAGGCCATGTGCTTGGAGTTTTGACCAGCGTTCTATCGCATCCTGCCAGGAAAAGCGCATGTGGAATTCGCCTGAGAGGGCTTGTAGCCGGGCACGCTTTTTGCGTGTTGATTGGAGGACTTGCAAGGTCAGCGCGTTGATTGGACCCATGAGTCTAGGGGTTGATTCCTTTTCCATTATTTTCAGCCGTCAAAAACCAGATCCATTTCTTCAGGGTTTTTGGTGGTTTTCTAGAAAGAAGGATCCCTGAAAAGAATGGGGAAGCTATCCTTAGAATGAGCCTTTTGTTCTACCATAGTTCCGAATGGGCTAGGTGCCAAATACGAAGCAACATGTTGCGTCCGCAAAACGAAACCAACAGGGATGGGCATTTACATTATGTTCAGGTACCCTAATTATTGGACACCGGATAAGAGCTTTGTTTTTTCCTCATCAGCCGGGGCTGCTATTGGCGTAGCTGCATTGCCAATATCGGGTACCATGTATGATGAATGATACTGCATATGTTTACAGGTTTGCCAGCGTAGACCTTCATTTAAGTTTGGCAATAGAAGCTCAGCTTGATGTCTCACCGGCTAACAAGGGCTTCAGGCATTGTTCAGGTAAAGCATGCGGCGTGTGTGTGTGTGTGTGTCACTTGTTTTTGTACCAGCTATGGTACGCATCTATCCAGACAATGTGGAGATATGTGTGAGTAAACCTCATGATCCCTGGAAACTAGCGCGAATTAGCGTAGAAGTTGGAGGCATTTACTCCTGGGTGTGCAGACATCGCCTGAAGAGCGGGCGTTGCTTCCACCGTGAAAAAGGCAGTGGCAGGATGAATGATAGCAACCCCCCCAAAAAAAAGAAAACCAAAGAAAAATACCACGTGCCTGTCCTGTTGGCCTTCTTTTTGTTCCCATCAACACAAGGGGTAGCCTCAGAAAAAAGATTGACCTCCCACCTCGAGTCGTTTCACCATAGAGGGGCAGGGAATGGGTTGACTGCGTGGAGCCATGGCCTAGTCCTCGGGATTGTCCACTGTGTGAACCCTGATTTGCTTGACCTGCCTTTTTGAAAGCACGTCATACAAGGGTCCCAGCACTTGAATATGTTTTAAGATTTGTAGGATCTAATGGCACTTGCTGTATATGTTTGGACGAGCCTGTTCGTGCCTTGTTTCCTAGGTCCACCATAACTTAGCTTCCCCTCCAATTGGTGGTTTAGATTGGTGGTTTGGCGGTCAAGGGGAGTCCCCTTCACCCTCTACAAAAAAAGAAGAACAACAAAACGGGGCTCAAATCCATATCCACCGGGTGGCAAACCACTAACTACTCGTAGGGGATACTTGCTATTTTTCAGTTCACTGGCCTGCCGACTCGACCCTCGACCGCCCGACCGCTTGGGCCGGCTCGGTGTTCTCAGCCACGTCGCCGCCATGCGCTCCCGAGGCAAGGAGTAGCGACGGCAAGACTTGTCCCTCGCTCGCTCAACACCTATAGCTCTTCTTTTAGGTTTGGATAGAACTACGGTAGATGGGTTCCACTGATTTACTTGGGGTTTATTCCATGGGACATCTATTTGTCCAAAAGGTCGCGTATGTTAGCACCCTGCTGATGTGCGCGCATCTAGGATGGTGACGTGGTTAAGTCATCCGGGGCCCAAAGGATAGTGGCATTTCATACAGCGAACTGAGTTGGCTCCTCCCTTCGGGAGGTTTGATCTTCGTCGCAAAACCAGATCAACTGGCGGGTGTATATCTCTACCTTTCCTGTGAGGTTGGTGATCGACACTCATTGCTCTTGCTGCTTCTTGTTATTTGTTTGAGAGAGTCCTGAGCAAGTTGATGTCACACGTTTGTGGAGATTGCACATGAGACCAAACAGACCCATTGGTCAGACATTCTCGCAAAGAAGTGCGAGTGCGAGTTAGTGTCCGCTACAGCATTCATTTAACCATAGCCAGGCACCCCATGTGTCACTCCTCAAAAGCAAATGCCGTATGTTGCTTTACAACAGTTTGATCGGTGTGGTGCAGCCTGTTTTTGTTTCTGTTTCTAAGCAACCAGCCAGCAGGTTTAGCAAACCCATCTGCCTAGGGTCCTGGGAAAGAATCACATGGCTCACTGGTGAAAGATGGTTTCTTGGAAACAAGTCCTTTGGATCCACATTCCGTTGTACCATGTTGGAGAAGAGCTAATACCTGTCATTGCGATTGTCCAGTACAACTAGGAAGGCAGTGCATGTGTAGTGCCTGTGTTGCAGCTTGCTATGTCAGTGACTTGTACTGCGATGGGATCAGTTCGCCGTCAAGGATATGAGTCGGGGCCAGAATCACCACAAAGCAGATTCACATGCACGTACCACGTTTACAGTATCCCAGCAAGTTGCATGGCAAAACACTTGGGGAGACACAAAACAGATAGCCTTACACGATACCCCCTGCCACATTGAACAACCAGTACATCAACTGGGTACTCACTGAGCATGATGTTAATACACGATCTGGATTGTGTGTTTGACCAGAATGGTTATCCTAACACGCACTGCATCATGAACTTCAACTCGGCCTGGTTATTTGACGTACGACCGCACCATCTTTGAAACCAAAGGAAACCACGGTTTGCTGGTAGTTCCAGGGGAATCGTAAGAAAGCTCCAGGGGTTGATTCCCCATTCTGTTCATCCATCGTTCTTCTCAACCAGCCATTTCACCGGGATTTTGGTGGTTTTCTAGAAAGAAGGAACCCTGAGAAGAATGGGGAAGCTATTCTGGAGAACCAGGGCTTCTTCCATGGCGCCTGAAGGATTTCGTCCATCCGATTCGCTGGGGCTGGCTCAATATGGCAGGCCATGGGTCAGTCGTCCAACAAGGAGCCGTGCCTTGCCGCAGTTTGTGTGGTCCGAATAGCTACTTGGGGGATGGACACAAAGCCCAAGTGGTTCACTTTAAGGAGAACCAGGTGTTTTTTAATGCCCCCAAGGTAGCCTACTGCTATTGGGTTGGATCTTTGGACTTTAAGTTTTTGGTTGAAATCAAGTGGGGGTTTCAACAAAGCTACCTTCCACTAACAGGATTCCACTTTGTGACTACCCCAAAATAGACTCAAACCCAAAAGTTCTCCTTTTGGGGGAATGAACCACCCTTGGTTTAAGTCCAATCTGGGGTAGTCCAAAAGTGGAACCCTGTCCACTAGCATAGGAGCTGTGGGAGGTTTCCTGTCAATTTCTTTTGGAAGGACCAATTCACTGTGGTTACTAATGTTAGTGGGAGGGAGGGTATACGCTGTTGTAGTGGCTCCTTTCATCAGACAAGCTTGGACAGTGCCCCAAGGCCAATTTGGCTTGAAGGCTTGTTGCTTGCAGGCAAACCCCAGCCGACGCAGGGCACTATGGCAGAGACATCTCGTCGAAGACGTGGCGGCCGCCGTGGGTTCCGGCCACTGGGGGCTCAACAGCGAGGACAAGACGGCTCAACTTTCAGGGGAGCCATCGGTGCCTGTCTGGGCTGAGGGTGAGCAGGTGGGCCCATGGATTTGGTGGGCCTTTCGGTGATGGCTTTGGCCGGCTTGGTGGCTGGCCCCAACTGTCGCCTGCTTCTCTGTCGTATCAAGCCAGTGTTTGTGGTATGCCAGGGGGGTGCATTAACGCAAAAAATCCGCTTTGTGGACCCCTTTAAGTCAAGGCACAAGGGCAACAAGGTACAATAAACTCTCAGGTGTTTGTCACCACTGCAGTGTGACCTAGCCACCTTGAAGTGATCAGTTAGCTTTCTGTCAGGGTCTGGTTGAGCGGATGTCTCTACCGAATGTGCCGCAACCACAACTTGTACTGGCCAGGAAGAAGCCTAGTTCTTTCCAAAGTCACCCAGAGTGGACCAGTCCTCCCCCTTCGCCCCCCTATTTCTATTTGGCATTTCCCTTTAGGTTCATTGCTATAACCTGCAAAAAACCGGCTTACCGAACTCCGCCTTGTTGAGTCCCCAAAGAACCTCCCAAAAAGAGGGTTCAGTTTTAGAGCATTTTGCGTTTCGCTGAGGCGAACCGCAAATTGTGTCGCCCATTCCCTGCCTTCTCCTTTTTCACTTCGTTGCGATCGCAACGAGAGTCTGCTGCTCCACATCTCGCTGGTGCAAGACACAGCGCCACTGGCAAGACTTTACATACAAAAGGACATGTGGGCTGCATGAAGGCAGCGAATTTGGGACATATGCGTTGCAGCTTGACAGGTAGAGTCTATCATGCCAGTATGGCAGACGATCATGTCGCGTCCGCGAAAACCATCTTTGACAAACTCTCCCTTACTGTGATGAACTGATTCAGCGCGCGCGCGATGCTATAACGAAGGGGCCGTGACTCCTGTTGCGACGTGCCATTGCCGCAGAACGCGCTGCAATCCCGAGAGGCTGTCCGAACCAAAAAAGCAAGCAGTCGAGCGGGTGTGCTTACCCTGGTCAGGCGTGCGTGCAGTGCTATAACGAAGCAATCGAGCGCATGTGCTTACCATGGCCAGGCGTACGCGCAGTGTTATTACGAAGCAGTCGAGCGCGTGTGCTTTCCATGGTCAGGCGTACGCGTAGTGCTATATCGAAGCAGGCGAGAGGGTCTACGTACCCTGGTCAGGCGTGCGCGCAGCGTTATAACAAAGCAGTCGAGCAGGTGTCCTTACCCTGGTCAGGCGTGCGCGCGATGCTATAACGAAGCAGTCGAGCGCACGTGCTTACCATGGCCAGGCGTGCGCGCAGTGTTATAGCGAAGCAGTCGAGCCGGCGCGCTTACCATGGCCAGGCATGCGCGCAGCGCCAGGCCAAAACAATAGAGCGGGCGTGCTATGCAGGGTTATAGCAAAAAAGTGCACGCCGTTAAGCGCGGTTTCTGGTCCGCTGGCAAAAACATGCGCGAGTCTGCGCCATTCTTGTACACACTTTGCTTCGGAGCCACACAGTTTGTGAGGCCCACAATGCAGAAGTGGACGGAGTTCTCATGCACGGCAACAAATATCTCATATTGAAGGCGTTGGTTCAGACATGCGTCATGATCCGTCAACCATGACCAGGAGTCCTGCAGACCATGAGCACCCGCTGTAGGGCTTTTGGACCACATCACATATCGATTCAGTACAAGATCCCGTATGTTGTTGCGAGGAGATCGCATTGACACCGACTCGTGTCCGAAAATGGG